CCCCCCCGTAGAAAGTTTGCTAAGGTTAAGTCTCATGATTTACTTAAATTTGATATTTAGAGCCTAAGTATATTGTGTCGGCAGCACTAGCCCGTATAGTAGGAGAACAGAAGATATCGAGAGATGAGATTAGTAGACGTATCCTTAACTATCTCAGGTAATAACGATCTTAAAGCTGAAGTGCCCAGCGTTGCCCGTGAAATTTTAGAAACACTTATTTTGAATTTTGAAGAAAAAATTAGATTTTTGAAGAAAAAACAATCGAATTTTGTAAAAAAAGATTTGAGAATTTTTTTTTTTTGTATTGTTGTTAGCCTTCCCCCCCCCCCCTCAAAACATTTCAGCCAATTTGGTACAGCTGTTTGGCCAGCCATAAGTAACATATATAATTCNTCCCTCAAAACATTTCAGCCAATTTGGTACAGCTGTTTGGCCAGCCATAAGTAACATATATAATTCAAATATATATATGTGCGAAGAGCTTTATTACATAGATTACTTTTTTTCTGTTTTCACAAAGGGTGCTATTTTGTGGAATATAGAATTTATATTCTTGCTCTGTTTATTCTATTTTAAATTTAAAATTGCTAGATCTAACGATCTGTTGGACGAGACGAAGACGTTCTTCAACCCAGACTCGAATCTGGTCGACGTTTTTGGTTGGGAGAGGAGGAACGTGCACAAGATGGGAGACTTCATCTCAGCACACATAACCGAGTATACAGGAACAGTAACACCAACAGGTAGCAAAATAAGCACATTTTTATGTTTCTGAAAGTAAAAAATCATCGATCAACAAATCTATTCTATAAGGCTAAAAAATCGCCAGCCTTATAGTAAATTTGCCTGTATAATGTACATAATACATATCTTTATTAGATGAGAGTTTTGCCAACAGCTCCTTCAGTTCTATGTACAGCGGGTCCAACTACAGCAACAGCAACTTGGATAGCTTCAGGTACAACAGGGTGGCATGGCAGCGAAGGGTAATTAGAAAAACCACAGTTCTCAATCTAAAGAACGAGAAGGATTAAAAAATATGCTCGACACCCTAATACAGGGGACATCAGTTCCAAAACTAACACTTGGCCAATTTCTAACACTGAGTGTTAGAAATGGGCCAAATCTGGAAAGTTATCTTTTTCAAGCGTATATATCTTTAAATCCAAGCCGATTTAAACAAAACTACACCATATATTTACAAAAAATGGCTAAAACTATATTTTGAAACAACAATTATCAACTTTAAACTAATAATAAGGTGTGACAATTAGTTTGTGATGACACTGTATTTAATTTTCGTACATATCTCTATTTTAAAACAAACACCGCATTTCAGCTCATTTCCTGGTTTTGAGACAATTACCCGAATTCATATCAATTTCAATTTTCAAGCATTTACGCATTTCTGTAACAAAACAAGATTTTTTGATAAGATAAAATATAAAAAAAATATAAAATAAAAACCTATTGTTCTTTTATTATTTAATAATCATTATAGCATTGAGAAATCAAAAAATGATATTTTTTTGTTTCTTCCAATTTAGAATTGTAATTGTAATCGTTTTTTTAAAATGCAGGAAATAAAATCAACTTTGTTTTCTTATTTTACAAATAAACTGGGAAACTAAGACTTCAGAAATAATTTATCTGTTGCTTTAGTCTTCATAAGATAATTTTTACTTTCACTGATTTAAAAAAAAAAGTTTTGAATTGGGAATTGTTGTCCTCGTCATGCTTAATAAAATGTTGGCTATAGATTTTATTCTCGACTTTTACTCTGGATATGTGCCGGATCCTAAAAACCCAGTCTTTCAATTTGTGCCCATTTCTAACCCTCAGTGTTGGAAATGGGCCAAGTGTTAGTTTTGGAACTAATGTCTCCTGTAATCCTTATGAATGAATCATTATAAATCCTTATGAATATTAAGATAAGATAATTTTTTAATAAAAATATTGGAACTGAAAATTGATCCTTAAATAATAATTTAATTTTTAAACTTATTAACGTTACATTAAAAATCATTGAAAACTTCAATTTCAATGTGCTGGATTTAATAATAAGAATAAATAATAAATAACAGATATTTTTAATAAATCAGGATTGAGGAACAGTTACTTGTTAGCTCAAAGAGTGCTGTTAGTCCCACTGTAGAATTAGAGAACACCGGAGCTAAACCTAAACATCCATCATTAATCTCCTCAAAGTAAGGACTTTACAGTGTAAATGTACATGGCTGTCGTTATTTCAAGTGGAGGTCAATTTAAAGAGGGGCACTGGGGCATACCTGGTTCACAACCTTTATCTGCTTAGTGCTCAATATTGTGGAAGATGATGTCGTTTTTTTCTGGAATGTTAAGTGCTTAATTTTGCAATTCCTACATTTTATTTGCAGCAGATATGCTCAAGTCACTTTATTAGAACAACCACAATTAAAATGGATATTTATCAGTATTAAAAGGAAAAACACGGATATCCCTTATACTTGATCAGAAAGTTTTGAGTGCCGTTGTGAATTGGGACATGCCGCTCAATAAATAAAGGACTTTTTGAAAATACGTGTACACTTTTGTAACAAAACTATTTCGTAAAAATTGAAGATATTTCCCCCACAAAATCAATTTGACTGACTTTCCAAAAATATCCCTTTGGTCTTCTAGTCTTGTTTGTTAAAATTGTATTTTGTATAGACGGGATACGCTTTCTAACTCCCTGGTCTGGATTGTTGAAATTGTATTTTGTTTAGACGTGATGAGCTTACTATCCCCCTGGTCTGGATTGTTGAAATTGTATTTTGTATAGACGGGATGAGCTTTCTATCCCCCTGGTCTGGATTGTTGAATTTGTATTTTGTATAGACGGGATACGCTTTTTAACTCCCTGGTCTGGATTGTTGAAATTGTATTTTGTATAGACGGGATGAGCTTCCTAACCCCCTGGTCTGGATTGTTGAAATTGTATTTTGTATAGACGGGATGAGCTTCCTATCCCCCTGGTCTGGTTTGTTGAATTTGTATTTTGTATAGACGGGATGAGCTTCCTATCCCCATGGTCTGGTTTGTGAAATTTGTATTTTATATTGACAGAATGAACTTCGCAATCCTATCCCTCTGGTCTGGTCAGTTAATTTGTATTTTGTATTGATGGAATGAGCTTCCTAACCCCTGGTCTGGTTTATGGAAATTGTATTTTGTATAGACTGGAATGATTAGCTTCCTATCCCCCTGGTTAAGTTGGTTTAAGTTGTATTTTGTATTGCGCCGGCCCCAACTATATTGTCCTTTAATAATAATATAAATAATAATAGACGGGATGAGCTTCCTACCCCCTTGGAACCAGAGAAGATGGATTGCAGTCCCGGGATCCCGGAGCTCAGGGCCAGATCTCCAGCCAGGTACATTTACTCAGTTTGAATCTTGTCTTGTGAAGATTAAGCCCATCTATAAATATTTTGTAGGGCACCAGTGCTTAGAATCTGGATCCGCAAAAATATTCGGATCCATGGACCCGGATTAAAGGGCAAAAAAAAAAACCAAAAACGGAAGAAAAAAATCTATGCTCTCAAAACTGAACTTTTGAAAAAGAGAGATTATCAAAAATGTCCTTATCTCTAAATGATTCATCAAGTTGTTGCATAAAAATAAATGAAATCCTAAAAAGGCTCACTCATGTTTTTACTGCAAAATCCTCTCATTTTAAAGTTGTCGATTTTTAGTTTCTTCTTAAAAATGCGATGTTATGTCTTTGAAAGCATTGAGTAGGGTACACAGATAGGTCGAAAGGATGATGGGGTTTAATTGATAAGTCACATAAATGATAAGTCACATAAATGCTAAGTCACATAAATGCTAAGTCACATAAATGTTGAGTCATATAAATGATGAGTCACATAAATGATGTGTCACATAAATGATGAGTCACATAAATGATGAGTCACATAAATGATGAGTCACAAGTGATGAGTCACGTAAATGATAATTCACATAAATGATAACACATAAATGATAATTCACATAAATGATAACACATAAATGATAATTCACATAAATGATAACACATAAATGATAAGTCACATAAAGGGTCAAAATAATTAATAAAAATCTAAATAATTTATATTAAGCCATTTTTTGTTATTTTATAGAAACTTTCCAGCAGCTTAACATATGTTTGAAAATCAATTTCCAAATTATAATTCAGTCCGCTAATAGGTATAGTTCTGGAGAGATGAAGGAGGAACTACAATGTCCAGTCTGTAAACTACAGTTTAAGGTTGGTTAAGATATTCTCAGTTTACACATCTCATTAATTTTATTTTGTTTTCTCAAAGAAACAAAGGTTGCCGACTTTGCTTGAGTTAAATGATTCAATAAGGAAAAGATTACATTGTTTAGATAAATTAAAATTGTCTAGGATATTACCGGAAATGATCCCGTCTACCTAAAGCATATTGAAGACCACATGCTGCCCGAGTGCCCGATCTGCTTCAAGACCTTCCAGGCCGGGCAGGAGAAGAAGCTAGAGAAGCATGTCAACACACACTTCAAGGTCAGAGCAAATACAGTTCTCAGCCATAATCCTAATTAAAATTGAAACATGTAAGAACAACATAGAAATACTTCTCCCAAAACTTTAAAGTATGCATTTTTGCGCTAATTTGGAATAACTTAAAAATAAAATCCGCATCTAATGATATGATTTTGAATAAAATCAAAACAAATTCCAACCAACCTGATAATATGTTATTCTTGGACTTGTAGTTCCTGGGTGATGTTAATAAAGATTGATCTCGTGCTGTGTCATTATGCATTAGGGACGCGAGGTTTAATTGAATTGAATTGAAATTCAAGAAATTGTCATTTCAAATCACCATCAGCCGAAAAATTCGCAAAATTCCTAGTTTTTTATCTCATTTTTGCAATGTATCTTTGCTAATTTATTTATTAATATTCTTATTATACTATACATTTTTTTTCACACACAAAGATTAACATATATAATTATTGGTCGAGTTAAAGTAAAAAGAATGGAGAATATATCTTAAAAAACATAATTTAAAAAACAGGGTTCCATTCAAGAAATAGAGCATCACTAGCAGAATGGTATTCAATTATTATGTAATAAAATCAAATTAAAATTAAATTTTGTTTTTGTTTTAGGATGACGACGGTGTTCTGAACTGGGATCTAGGAATAGATTAAAAATATTCATAAACCTGGCCGTAGTTCAGCCTAAACCGGTTTATTTCTCACTTGCTGACTGAACCGGTTATGAGCCTATGTACCGTACAGAAGAAAAGTTGTTCAATTTGTTTAGTAAAGCTGAAAATTGATTTTGTTTTGTTTAAAATTACCAATTTTTCTTCGGCCATTTAATTTGTTTAGCATTTAAATATATGGGTCTTTCTTTGAATGTAAATACATCACAATATAGTAGAATAAATTAAAGTAAAATTTAATTGAAATTTTAAATATGTTGATTGTTTACTTACTGTGCAATTATTCAAGAAATTGTCAATATTTGTAACCAAAATTGTCAGAAAAAGAAAATATTTTCGCTCAATAAAATATATACGATTGGAATTTTTGTGTAAATAAAGTATTTTTCAGAAGTGAATGGCTGAAATGTCGTTGTAAGATGGGACGCGAGAACGAGGGTATGTAGATTTTTTAGTTCCCCAGGAATTATATTACTTGTTTTTCCCTTCCATAGGATGAGCTTCATATCCCCCTGGTCTGGATTGTTGAAATTGTATTTTGTATAGAACTCTTATCAGTTTGTGTAGCAAGCCTTGAAAGTTTGTTAAAACAAGAACAATAAGGAAGTTTGTTCAATCTTGTCAATATCCAGCCTAAGAGAGAGGGGGGGGGGATACTAAATGCACAAAAATGCTTTCCTAAATCTTAAGTGCAATTCTCGATTTTGATAATAGCTTACCAGCTCCCTCCTCGGTAAATTTACAGAATATATTGTCAATTAAATGATTTGTCAAGATATGGTTTGGATTTAGTTTCCCCTGAGTTCTGGTGTTATCATCATATTCCCCTGGAATACTGGTGATAAAATCCAGTCTTGTCTAGTCTACACGCGGAACTGGAATAGAGGGGGGGGGGAGATCAGGGAATATTTTTAGTACAAGTCTTGATTTTATCTGTTAACACGATTTGATTTGACACTTATTGGTAGGAAAGTGAGTTAAAAAAAAATGGCAATATACTGAATTATTAATTTTTTTATTTATTACCTTTTTGATATTTTAACATTTTAAAGAAAAATAATATAAAAAGATTTAAATTTGTACTTTGTAGTCCCTTTTCTTCTGCTGTTTAGATACTAACCATTTTAAAATCAGACGTGGATGAAAAAATAAGTATATTTTTAGTTACACTTTAAACAGTTAAATGGTAAAAATATTTTCAGAGGAGGGGAGCTTTCTTCCACCAGTAGATACTCAGGCATTCATTTAATCAATCCATCATCAATTAAACAAACAATCAATTAATCAATTAACGCAACGCAACGATAAAACCACGCATGGGATTAGAGATCACGTTCATCAGCACCAGTCATGTTTGGGTTGGCCTGGTTAATACATTTTTAAACAATTGTCATTCGTTTTGAAATAGTTTTTCCCGGAAAATCCATGCTTTCTAATTGAAAGCGTTATTCCAATTTTCAACTTTTTATACTTAACATTTTTAATGGTACTTAACTCGAATATCTACTTGATGACGAGAATTTTCTTATCAAGCCTTTTAACGGTGTCACTGAACTGGGCTTTGTTATGTAATTTTTGTGGAATATTCCTTCCGACAAATTCCTAGTACTGTTTGTTCAAGCTTTTGTTTTTTTGCCGCTTTCGTTGTTCTAGCAGTTTTGTTTGGTCAGGGGCGACTGTCAAGAATCCCCCTCTCCTCCAAAATAAAAAATAAAACATTATTATTGTGTTAAGACTTTTTGGCTTTGAAAAATTAAGTTTTTCCTAGTGAAACACACGCTAAATATTGTTATCAAGCTGCTCTAGATAATAGAAGATCAAGGTCTTGTTTATCTAGGTTAAAAGTAAGAGTGGGATGGGTTACTAAGGAATATCTATTTTTTGGAACTGCAAATAGTGTTGTACTTGTAAACAGAAATAAAAGTAAATTTTTGAAAAAAAATGATTATACGGAAATGTATTTTAATCAAATTAGTTAAATTTTCGTTTGTTTGTGACCCCCCGCTCCCTATCCAAATAGTTTTTTCTTTGTCCACTGGTTTTAGAATTGTGACATTTTGATTTTACTTGCAACTTTAGTTAACTTTTTTGTGTAATACATTACGCAATACGGACTACACACATATATGTGCATATCAGAGATTGTAAATAAATGTATTTATTCTAGATATTATTGAGTTGCAAGATTTAGCACTTCAGTATTGTTAAATACACTGATAAGTTCAGACATAGCTCAGCCAGGGGCGTTCGAAAGCATTTGTTTAGGGGGGGGGGGCACTTTTTTCGCGATCAGCTCGCAAAAAAAATAGGGTGCCCCCCCTTGGCAACATTGTGCCCGCCCCCCCCCCCTTAAAATCCCCTTTTTTGAATAAACTTAATTCTGTGGTGTAAGCTTCAAGGAGTGAAAAATAGAGATGGAAACGTTTCTTTAAACATATCTTTATTTTCATAGGATTTATTACATAAATAATATAAAACTTAAAAAGAACTGCCTCCAAAATCAAGAATAAGAGCTTTATTCAACAAATATCACGAATCCAGATGTAATATTAAATGAGCCCCCCCCCCCCCCTTGTTCGCACCTGAGGGAGGGGGGTTGGGTTGCACAATGCTCAGAATTAGTTTTCGCTATAATATTGGAGTCATTTGGAGTCACTGAAAAATGTTAGTTTTGTCAAGTGAAATTTATCTGGCGGATTTCTAGGCAATTTATATGTTTTATGTTAGAAGAATGTATTATTATTATTATTATTATGTAGTCGATAAATTCAGAAAAATGGATGGAAATGATGTAATCTTAATCTTTGAGGAATCTCTTTCTCTTTTCCCCAAAAAATCAGTTTTAATATATAATATATATATACCATAAAAAAACAATAACAAAAACCATAATGTTATATAAACGATGAAGAAATCTTGAATTTTCTCAACAACTTTTTTTTTATGATCAAAATTCAATTCATAATAACGCCATTTGACGTAATTCTCACAATTAATATATTTATTTAACAGTTGTAAATTCTGAAGTTAATTTATGACCAGTAAAATGCATTCTAATCCTTCTGATTTTTTAAGATTTATTATCAAAAAATTAATGTTCAAACAATAAACATTTAAGCTTTTCAGAAATTATACTTTGAGCTGAAAGAAAGTTAATTTGCATTTGCAAAGATTGCAGAAGATCAGTTTCCAACTTGATTTTTATTCTTGAAGGAGCAAAATTATTTAATGCATAATTATAACACTGATTTTTGGGGTTGGTTTGGGTTTATTATTGATTTGTTAGATGAATTGGTTATTGATTATAAGATGTTGGAATATTAATCGGTATAAAATTGGTTGTATCTATATATACATAAAGTAGTAATCTCTGTTTGTCTGTTTAATGTATGTATGTATGTCTAGTTAGAACAGGGGCAGGGCAGTGCACCCTGCTGCCTGGGCGGTCTGGGGGGCCCACAATGGGGTCTCTTGCAGATTTCACTTCCTTATGATTCCTTATGTTTGTTTGTATGTCAGATCATAACCTCTGGACCGAATTGTCTCAAATTTTGATAGGGAACTCGATAGGACTATGTAAAAGCAAGATCTCCAAGCTTGCATTAGTATAAAAGTTATCGATTAGATATTTATATGATATTGATTGAAAATTTAATAATGATCTATTGAATAATGGATTATTATATAATAGTAATAATATATTATTATATAATAACAATAATAAAATATTATTGATTGATTGATGGATTGTAGAGAAGAGAATCTGATCTCCAGGCTCGTCTCTTTAGCGCTAACTCAGACAACTTCTCTAGGAAAACAGCATAAAGTAGTCCATATTCATTTTCTTAATGATTTATCAGAGCTGGGAACTTTTGTATTGGATACCGGTACTATAATCACGATAGCTCGATCTCGAAATCCACAGTGGAATGAATTTTACAGAGAATCTGGGCTAGATCTCTTTATCTTGTATATCCCTACTTTCTTTGTTCTCTCATTGGGCATTGGTTGGACGCAAAAAATTCTTGGCTTCTGTTTGTTTTTCGCACTTCACGGGATATCGAATAAAGATGAACAAAAGATCAAGATCAAATAATGATCTTGATATCCACAGTTCAACAGTTCCGACCTCAGTCAACACTTCATTTTCAGTTGGTCCTTGCTGATATTTGACATTTATCGAAAATGCTTTTTTAAAACTTTTTATGTTGTTTATTTTTAGTCAAGAAACTCAGCTCAATTCTCGTGGAATCTATGTAAACAAGGAAAGAGGATCTTATTATAACAATAACATAAATATATTTTTTTAAATGTTTAATTTTATCTTATAAATTTACTTTCTCCTAAACCATTGACTGCACAGTGCACATTGCACACTCAATACTCAAATGTTTACACATATTTTTTTTCTTCTTCATATTTTGATTTTGATTTTCAGCTTCGAGTGCAAAACTAATTTGTATGTAATATTTTGATACTAGCTTTTTAACTTCTTAGTTAACCATACAGATACAACATCTGAGATTGCAATGTTATTAAAAAGAAATGGAGTGAATAACAAAAGTAAGCATACTATCTTACCAAGTCCAACCCGGATGGAATTTCAGTTTTTGAGAACAACGACAACATTAACATGGCTAATGCATTGCCTATCATTTAATGATCGGCCGATACGCTTCCTTCTTGTTTTATTCGGATCCCGCTTTAGGATTTTTTTTAGTTTATTATGAAATGTTTATTGCTGATTTATTTATTGATGATAAATAAAATCGACTTAAATGTATTTTTATAAATTTATTATTAAAAATAATTCAAATTTATGCACACAAATATCATGGCCGGGCGTCTTAGAGTTTAGATAGATTCCATCTTAAGAAATCTATTTAGTTACTTCAAAGTGTTTAGGATGGCGTCCCTAAAACTCTCATTGATTGATTGAAGAATTTCTCTCTATCATAAAAAAGTTAAACATTTTTTTATCCTCTGTTGTTAATAGACCCGAGCAGAAGACGGATTAAAATACTCAAACGCCTTCTCACGAGATAGGTTTTCAGGTATTCTTGCATTTTAGAAAAGTTTTATTTTCTTAAAATATTTATTTACAGCTAAATTTAGCTCATCCGATTCCAACCCCATCACCTCTCACGATTATTTTCAAATCTTGGTAAAAAAATATCATTCTTTGATTCATTTTCTTTGTAAAATCATTTTTATCACGCGAAAACCCATTTTTAATGAAATTTTAGAATGGGGGGGGGGTGGAATCTTTTGTAGAGCGGGAAAGGTTAATTAAGTGAAAATACACCCTTGGTAATTGATCCATCTATTTTAGAATCTAGTGTAGAACAAGGAATGGATACTCTAGATATTAAGGTGTGTGTTTTTATATTACGAAATGAACGTAATTTCACCCTTTAGGGGACAACTGTATGACTTCCAATGTTTATTTTCAGAATGATTTCCAATTTATATATGAGAAGTCGTGGAGCTGTGAAGAGTGCACATTAGAAAATACTAATCTTAGCATATTTTGTGAGGTAAATATCGGTAAATATCGGTAAATAGTGATGACTTTTGGTGAATATAGGGAAATATTAGTAAATTTGGTGAATATCATTGTAAATATTTGTTGAATATCATTGTATATTTATGGTGAATATTATTGTAAAAATTAAGAAATATCGGTAAATATTGGTAAATATTGGCAATTATCAGTAAATACGGTAAATATCGGTAAATATTGGTAAATATTGGTAAATATCGGTACACATTGGTGAAAATGATAACACCTGCTCCAATTTTGTGCGTTTTCATTTTTTAAAAATTATTTTCCTTTTTTCCAGGCTTGTGGGAGTTCAAGACCTCAAAAATCAGGGTAAGATATTTAATTATTTAAAACAGGCGGACAACAAAATTGAAAAAATCTTGTTTTATATCGATCCATGATTGATTAATTCTTTTTTTTAATTTATACATTAATTAATATGGTTTAGATGGGAGTGTACTCGATGTACTATGTTGAACCAACCTGGTTCGATTGTTTGTGAAATGTGTAATTGTACTGCAGAACATACTATAGCTGGTGTAAGGCCAGGGGCTTGGATCTGTCAGGTATGCAAATATCAAGCCAAGCTACGTATTACGAAAACAAAGAATATCAACAAAAAATGATAAAAGAGAGATAGAAAAAAATTAGATTACTTTCTTAATTAAGTTTATTGTCAAGAAATGATTAATTCTAATTAATCCCAATCTAAAATCATATTTAGGTCTGCGCTATTGAAACTACGGGGTTACTCATTAAATAATTTGAATAATGACGACCTTAACCTCTAGCAACATAACAATTTTTAAGTTGAATTTGGTGTTCAGCCTAATAAGTCAGTAAACGAAGTACTATGTAATTTGACAAGTATTAAACAGTTTACAGCTAGTTGCAAGAAACTAAATATGAGAGAAAAGGATTATTTTCGCAAAGTCGTCTCTGAAGTTTAATTCATTTCTGAAAACGCTATACTAAACATAAACAACGAATATAGACTAGAAATAAACAAAGTTCAAAAGAAAAAATATTACAGTTTGTAATTAAATGATATTCTAGTTTTGTTTCTCATTTTCAAATTATATTTTAGGTCTGTACTTATGAAAATTCTCGTCGACGACTTTCATGTAAAATGTGCTCAAATTCTAAACAATCTGGAGCGAGGTAAAAATAATTATTTTGTAATTTAAAAATGTCTTACATAAACAATTTTGACATTTGTTAAATTCTTGTATAAAATGGCAAAAATTTTTAACATTTTCTCAAACTTCTTTATTTTTGTAGTTATTCACCTATTTTAACAGTAAACTAATGGTTGGTAAAAAAGCTGGTTGAAATGAGTCCCATTATATTAGATATATATAACGCAGTAATCTCTGTTTGTCTGTATGTCTGATCATAGCTTATGAACTCTCTAACTGATTTTTGATGGAGGAACTTAGTAGAACCAAGGGAATGTAATTGCTTAGCTTAAAAATCTAAATTTAGTGGGGTGACTTTAACAGATAAAATTTCCCAGGTAAAACTGGGTTCCCATTCCCAAGCTATTTACTAAATATAATCCAAAGCTGAAACATTCACAAAATTTCTCCTATATATATATATATATATAATATTTTCAACTTTTTTCAGTTTAAATAGACATTGTAGATGTTTAAATATATATTTTTTCCAAGACAAAATGTTTCATGGGTCTAACCCATTCATCAGTTGGAATAAAACTGATATTGGAGTATTTTTTACTATGATTTCACGTTTTTATAGAATATGATATATATATATATATATTATATTATTTGAGGGGACATGTTGGACTAGCTTCTGGTAAAGGAAGTGGACGACCTGATTCCTCCTCTCTTCTCACCAGGGGTGACACCAGGGATATGGATATGTGAGAACATTTGTATTTAAAAACGGAAAATAAATATAAAAATTTAGTAAAGTAAAAAAAAAAAGTTTCATAAGTAAAGTTTTAAACAATTAAGAAATATAACAATCTGATTAAGATAATTCGAATTAATTTGCTAGTTTGATTGCTTGAAATGCTGTATACCAGATCAATCGGCAGATCTTAACTTAAAATTACGTATGAATACATAAAAGTTTTTGTGTTGCTAATAAATAATTATATATTTTGATATTTTATGATCAGTGAGTTCGTTTCGATAAGTCATCTCGCCTCAGTTTCGAATGATATTAAAAGCAATAAGCATTATGTTTCAGAGTTCGGACAGAGGAAGAAAAGAAAGCTTTGAGTAAATGGGAACGAATCGTCAATGAATGCCGAAAAGCTGGTCAGCCTTACGTCGACGATTTGTTTCCACCGACGAAGAAGAGTCTTTATTATAACCAGGAATGGGAAACTTACAAACATGTTTTCGTTGTTCATTGGTTTTTGTGGTCCGACATTTATCTAATCATATTCTTTACTTATTAGTTTTCAGGGAGAAAATATATTTTATTTTATAAAAAACTAGGCTTTTAGGGCGCTTCGCGCCCATCTTCTATTTAAATTGTGAACATGTTCTTTTTGTTTACATTTTAAGGAAGAAACAAATTTTGCGGATTTTTAAAAAAAAATTCGCGGATTTCCAAGAATTTAAATGTTTTTGCAAAATTAAAAATCTTTAAAACACATTTTTTTAAAAATTTTATCATTCATAAACCTTCCCTGTGATCACGTGATGTCCCACAAAAAATTTGGGCCCGATCGGTTCAGCCGTTTTGACGTTTATTGGATACAAACAAACAAACAAACAGACAAACAGACAGACAAGCCAAATTTATATATAGATTTTCTAAAAAATAGTGGAAAATAATGTCAAAGTACCCTGAATTGTTTACTTGTTTTCTTTATTTATCTTTGATACAGATGATAGTCTCTGATCTCTAAGCACTCTTTGCCACCCTTTTTACTGGCTGTAATACGAGATTTTAGTAGAAATTTGGTTTCCCTGCATTAGTCATCCTTAATTTTCACTAAACATATAAATTAGGCAGCAAGTTCACATCATATACATTTTTATTATTCTTTTCATGAAAATAAAACATTTTCCCCCCTCTAGCACTTAATATTCTCCAATGTTTCCCATTTAATCAGGCTGAACCAACCCTTGACGTTGAACCGTCCAGAAGATCACACGGTGTAACACAATGGTTGCGCCCCCATCAGATAGTTACCGAGGGGGACAGCAACGTAAAATGGAGTGTGTTCAGAACCCCTCTTCCTAGCGATATATCTCAGGTAGACAGTTTTAAGGGGTTTAACTCGGGGGTATCTGTAACCCCCCCACCTCCCCCCCATGAAAGATACGTACGTTTGCAAGGAGTGAAATTTCTTTTCATGGTTACGCTGGCTGTTGGGGAATAAATGATTTTTTGGGCAAAAAGAATCCTGAACGGGGAAAAAACTATTTAAAGGTTTGATTTGATTTGATATATTTTTTCTTTTACTTGACTGAAAAAGTAGCTATGGTTATATTTAATTGACCTTGATAAGAAAAATTCGGTTATCGGATAAATTTAATATTAATACTTTTTTTCAGGGTATACTGGGGAACTGCTGGCTTCTCAGTGCACTGGCAGTTATCGCGGAGAATACTCAGTTGGTTGAACGGATCATTTCAACCAGGTATACTTGGCTTTTCACTGTTCAGTGCTTAGGATCCGGACCCTTAACATTTTAGTAACCCGGATCCGGACCCTTAACATTTTAGCAACCCGGATCCGGACCCTTAACATTTTAGCAACCCGGATCTGGACCCTTAGCATTTTAGCAACCCGGATCCGGACCCTTAACATTTTAGCAACCCGGATCTGGACCTTAACATTTTAGCAACCCGGATCCGGACCCTTAACATTTTAGCAACCCGGATCCGGGCCCTTAACATTTTAACAACCCGGATCTGGACCCTTAACATTTTAGCAACCCGGATCCGGAAGATCAAAATCCACGTTTCAAAATAGCAACCAAATTCTTAATTAAGTGTTGACTTACGAGAAATGACTAAGACCTTCCTCTCTGTGTAATTGTATCCTGTGTGAAACACAACCTCTTTCAAACCTTTCTCTTGTGAAAATCATAAAATAATTAAATGTGTTCATGATAGTTCTTATAAACATTTTCACTATCGAAAATAAAAATAACAATAGTAATACCAGTCGATTAAAAAGTATTGAATTTACTAACATAAATACATATATTTAAGAGAGTACTGTGAGGAAGGAGTATATCAGATCAGATTATGCAAAGATGGATCTTGGCAAACTGTTATTATAGATGATCTTCTTCCTTGTGATAAACGTAGACAACTAGTTTACTCTCAGGTCAGAACAATGAATAGTTTTTATAATTTTGTTTATTAAAATTGTTTAACCCCAGGCTAAACGTAAACAGTTGTGGGTTCCTCTGATAGAAAAAGCAATGGCTAATCTTCACGGATGCTATGAAGCTCTCGTGTCAGGTAAAAATATATACACAAATGTTTTGCTAGTTTTTTAACAATCAATAAATATAGAAACTGAAAAAATGGGGACCGTAGGGTTGGTTCCTGGTCAGAATTTTAATAAGTCTTCTGCCATCTATATATAAATTTGGCTTGTCTGTTTGTTTGTATCCAATAAACGTCAAAACGGCTGAACCGATCGGGCTCAAATTTTTTGTGGGACATCACGTGACCACAGGGAAGGTTTTTGAATGAAAAAGATTAAGAAAAATGTGTTTTAAAGGTTTTTAATTTTGTAAAAAAATTAAATTCTTAAAAATCCGCGAAATTTTTTCTTCTTTGTTTTGAAATGTAAACAAAAAGAACATGTTCACAATTTAAATAGAAGATGGGCGCGAAACGCCCTAAAAGCCTAGTAATATTATATAACTAAAAGTATTTTTGTCAAAAACTAAAAAATCACAGAAGTGCCGCAAGGTGTCCTGGAAGCTTAGTAGTTAATATTTCAATTAATATACATAGTTTACATTTATTTTCTGTAAAATTGCAAAGATGTCAATTGTTTCTCACAAAATAAGCACGTGATTGCTAATTGCTATGGAAATTGAGTAACGTCCGTCATGTATACAAAAGTTTCTACCTCCTCTCTGGCAAGTTAAACAGAATGATTTAGGTTAATACATAAATAAATTTATTTCAGGTAGAGCAATAGAAGGGCTTTCTACACTTACTGGTGCACCTTGTGAATCCGTCCCTTTACAGGTTGGAACATAGATACTTGTTGGCATTAGGATTGGAATTGAGATGGCGATCAAGGCTTGGATTTGGATTAGTAAGAGAGGGATTAAGATTTGGATCACGATTGGGATTTTGTACAGAATTGTTATTGGGTAAAGTTATCGGAATAAGTAGGGATTATTATTGGGATTAGGATTGGAATTAGAATTGGAATCAGGATAATATATTACGTTATAATTAGAATTTTTATATAATTTTTATTTTGATTAATTTTCAAATATTCTAGGCAAGTTCTCTTCAATCTCCCGATGATGATCTTGATACAGAGTTTATCTGGGCTCAGCTCCTCAGTTCAAGGTTCCTTTGTTTTGAATTCAAAAAGCATGAAAAGTTCTTTCTGAACGAACTGAGGCTGATTAACTAATGCTTGCACAGCAGAGAAAATGTGAAGCATCTAAATCGTTTTATTGTTGAATTTTAAATTCTGAAGGATCACAGTTCTTTGATATATTCAAGGAGCAGAGTTTCTATTGATATATTCAGGGAACAGGGTTTCTATTGATATATTCAGGGAGCTGGGTTTCCATTCATATATTCAGGGAGCTGGGTTTCCATTCATATATTCAGGGAGCAGGGTTTCTATTTATATATACAGAGAGCTGGGTTTCCATTTATATATTCAGGGATATGGGTTTCCATTCATATATTCAGGGAGCAGGGTTTCCATTCATATATTCAGGGAGCAGGGTTTCCATTCATATATTCAGGGAGCAGGGTTTCCATTCATATATTCAGGGAGCAGGGTTTCCATTCATATATTCAGGGAGCAGGGTTTCCATTCATATATTCAGGGAGCAGGGTTTCCATTCATATATTCAGGGAGCAGGGTTTCCATTCATATATTCAGGGAGCAGGGTTTCCATTCATATATTCAGGGAGCAGGGTTTCCATTCATATATTCAGGGAGCAGGGTTTCCATTCATATATTCAGGGAGCAGGGTTTCCATTCATATATTCAGGTAGCAGGGTTTCCATTCATATATTCAGGGAGCAGGATTTCTATTTATATATTCAGGGAGCTGGGTTTCTATTTATATATTCAGGGAGCAGGGTTTCTATTTATATATTCAGGGAGCTGGGTTTCTATTTATATATTCAGGGAGCTGGGTTTCCATTCATATATTCAGGGAGCAGGGTTTCCATTCATATATTCAGGGATATGGGTTTCCATTGATATATTCAGGGATATGGGTTTCCATTGATATATTAGGGAGCAGGGTTTCCATTGATGTATTCAGGGAGCAGGGTTTCCATTGATATATTCAGGGAGCAGGGTTTCCATTGATATATTCAGGGAACAGGGTTTCCTGATGGGAGCCAGCTGTGGAGGGGGGAACATGAAGATTGACGAGGAAGAGTTTAGAAGTGTTGGACTGAGACCTAGGCATGCATATTCAGTTCTAGATGTTAGGTAGGAAACGCATTAAAATGAATTATTTTTATTTAAAACGTAATTTTTTGTAATCCTAATTTGAAAGCAATAGCGTTACAGTAACACTGCACAACCATGTAAAACTTTAAAACTTGAGGCCTTGCCATTTGATTTTTCGATAAGTCATCCGCCAAATGTTGATTTAGTCTATAGTCACTTCAATTTTCGAAATGGTTTGAAAGATGTCCCTAAAGATCTGATTTGATTAGTCATTTCTAGGAAATGAAAAAAAATCTCTATCATCGTGTCTAAACTTAAGATTGGAGGGGTTTCGTTGTGAAGCGGCAACACACCCCTCCTGAACAAAATAAAAGTTTGATTAAAAACGCATTGGATGAGACCTGTTCCAAGTGAAAGCTGGATATCTGTTGGAATTATTTTGACCTTATTTAAAATCTGATCTGATCCTTCTTGGTGGTTATAAATCATTTTTGGAACACCAGTAATATATGAATAAAACTTCATTACGTGAGTGTTTTTAATCAAACTTTTTTTTTGTTCTGGAGGGGTGTGGCAATCGTACTTTGATGTTCCTTTAAACTTTGGATGATTAATTTTGAAGATCTATTATTAACTTCATACAATAATGATGGTGTTTTGATTTGATATATCCTTTTTTTGACTTTTATTGAGCGTGGTCTTTTAAGGAAGTGGTCCTATTTGTTTAGAAATAAATTATTAAGATTGAATTTATTTAATGTAAAATCTATAAAAATATTCTTCCCCTGTATAGTTGAACATTTAACATAATCCAGGGATCTATCTGGTATCCGATTGTGCCGACTACGGAACCCCTGGGGTCACTACTCTTGGTCCGGGGACTGGTCTGACTACTCTGATATATGGACTCAAGAACTCAGGGAGTTTCTAGGAACACAGGTCAGCTGAATAGCTACTTAAAGGAGAGGCTGGCTATATAACATATTTGAACTGAGAATGCAGTAATATGGATAAAAAATTTAGGATTCATTTTGATACCATTTTACGATGTACAATTTTTAATTTAGAGCGTTAAGTTGTTTGTAATATTTCACCAGTGTTCAAACTCAACACCTTACTATTTGAAAAGATTTTAATACTGAGAAAATTATATTTAATAAAACTTTTCTCAAAATGGCGTATTTTCTGATTTTAATGACATACATCCTGAGTCATCTGTGGGTCCTTACTAACCAAATACAGTTGACAGAACTACTAGGATAATTCATAAAAATTAAATAAATCCCAGCTAAGAGTGTGACTGAAACAACGCTGAAATATTACAAACTCCATGCACTGAATAAGAATTTCTGTCTTTGATTTCTTGATATATTTTCTTTAATGTATTGGAAGAATATTAATGTTCAGGAAAATGAGGATGGAGTTTTCTGGATTTCTTTTACAGACGTTCTTCGATATTTTGATTCTATAGATATATGCAAGGTAGCCAAATGAATTTTTATGATACCTTGATTATGATTAATTGATCGATTGTTAAGGTTCGGTCTGGGTGGAGAGAGGTTAGATTAGGAGGTATACTTCCACCCTTCTCCTCTAAGGTAAACACATTATGGAACGTTTTTGATTTGTTTTTTTACATGTGTATTATAATTTTTATAAAATAAAATGGTACGAGGCATAGTTAATAATTTCAAATGTTCATCTTTTTCTCCTTTTACCATCTGCAGTCTGCACGTCCGCAGGTTTTCTTTTTCTTGCCTCCCATTGCCCTTCCATTTATGGCGCTGCTTTTGAAAGAATGCTTACGAGTCGCTGTTTTTGCGCCACTGTAAGACAGTGCACGATCACCCTTTCATTGAATAGATGTCTCCCTCTTTTTTGTTTTTGTTTTGCTTAATTGTAATTGCAGCCTCAGCTCTGCACATTCTGTACTTGCATTTGCTAGGTCACCACTCCTCGTACTTTAAGTTAGTTTCCATTTAATTCGACGTATTAAACACAAAACCACATTTAATAAACCAAACCTTTAATAATATATATAACCACATTTAAAAAACCAGACCTTATATAATTAGGAACACCAGACTCCAACTCTTATATAGTTAGAAACACCAGATTCCAACTCTTATATATTTAGGAACACCAGACTCCAACTCTTATATATTTATAAACACCAGACTCCAACAGCCAACTCTCCTATATTTAGATGCATCAAGACTAACTCTTATATTTAGGAACACCAGACTCCAACACTTATATATTTAGATACATCAGACTCCAACTCTTATATATTTAGGAATACCAGACTCCCCTTACATATATAGGAACACCAGACTCCAACCCTTATATAATTAGCAAAACTCCCAACTCTCATATTTAGGAACACCAGACTCCAACCCTTATATATTTAAAAACACCAGACTAGACTCCAGCCCTTATTAATTTAGGACCACCAGACTCCAACCCTTATTAATTTAGGAACACCAGACTCCAACCCTTATTAATTTAGGAACACCAGACTCCAACCCTTATTAATTTAGGAACACCAAACTCCAACCCTTATTAATTTAGGAACACTAGACTCCAAACCTTAAAAATTTAGGAACACCAGACTCCAATCCTTATAAATTTAGAAACACCAGACTCCAGCCCTTATAAATTTAGAAACACCAGACTCCAACCCATATATATTTAGGAACACCAGACTCCAACCCTTATATATTTAGGAACACCAGACTCCAACCCATATATATTTAGGAACACCAGACTCCAACCCTGATTACTGTTCTGGAACCAACAGAAGTGGAGTTCTCATTGTTTCAAGAGGGGCAAAGGTAAAAAAATGCGATTAGTTTACCACTCGCCAAGATTAGCTATTATTATTTTGTTCTCTTTTTCAAATGCCAACTTACATGCAAAAGTGGCAATGTCCGGTTTACAACGGAACCCAATTGAAACCCTAATCTGATCAAAAACGTGGAAGATTTCTGACTCAAAAAGTGTTTAAATCAGATAATTTATCTAATCACAAGCAAAAACTGACCAAGCCCCTTTTGCACATGGTTGACTTGGACAGCAAGCAACCCTTTCTGTTGCGGTCGGCCATTCCCTTCCGAGTATGTCGGCGTAGGCTGCGACCCGTCTTGAAACACGGACCAAGGAGTCTAACATGAAATCAAGAAGCGTCTAAAACTAATTCTCGCACCTTATTATGAGAAACCACGAATCAAAATAAACTGTGCTTATTCATACTTGATCTCAGACAAGGCTTTTAAGAGGGTGGTGTTGTAAATTCGGCATTGTCATCTCTGCATGAAAGGTCACTTGAAATTACGCTTACAGTCCCTTTAAATCTTATTCTTTTTTAGAAGTGCTGAGAAGTCCAGCCGTAGTCAGTTAGATCTGTGTATTGTTATATTCCGAACATCTTCAAACCAAACTCCAAGGATTGGAAAACTTGTCCGGCATAGTAAACGACAGGTGGAGTTTACCTTATATTATTTATATGTAATTTCTTGTGAAACTTTGATAATAATTTGTTAAACTTAAAAAAAATATTTTAACCTAAGCTAAATATTTTTTGAACTTGTCTAATAATTTGTTAAACTAAGCTAGTAATTCGTTAAACTTTGCTTATAGTTCGTTAAGCTTTGCTAATAATTCGGTAAACTTTGCTTATAATTCATTAAACTTTGCTGAAAATTTATTAAACTTTGCTACTAATTCGTTAAACTTTGCTGATAACTCGTTAAACTTTGCTGATAATTCGTTAAACGTTGGTGATTATTTGTTAAACTTTGCCTACTTATTCGTTTGACTTTGCTGATAATTTGTTAAACTGTGCCGATAATTTGTTAAACGTTGCTGATAATTTGTTAAACTTTGCTACTTATTCGTTAGACTTTGCTGATAAGTTGCTAAACTTTGCTTATAATTCGTTAAACGTTGCTGATAATTTGTTAAAATTTGCTACTTATTCGTTAGACTTTGCTGATAATTTGTTAAACTGTGCTGATAATTTGTTAAACTTTACTGATATTTCGTTAAACTTGGATAATAATTTGTTGAACTTTGCTTATTTCGGTCATGGGTTCTACGTTTTGTTTGCTCTTCTCAACATGTTTAATAGTTATGATTAAGGTTCGTGGATTTGTCGGGTGTCATGCTATGCTTGAGCCCGGCTGTTATCTAGTTCTTTGTATGGCATTCAATCATTGGCACACAGGTAGGATAGTAATCAACACACACAGGATAATTCGTCCTCAATATTTGAGACCGAATTGTTTGTAAAATAAGAATTATGTATACATACCAACATTGTTTTCGTCTTTTTTTGCCTAATAAACGATTCATTTTTTTTTTTTTTATTTTCCATTAACATACATAGAAACCCTGTTTAGTCCTGTTCATTAGAAAGTATAATAATCTAGAAAAAAACATTAAGTCTAGACGTAAAATTTTCAAAAAAAAATCTTTAAAGTTTTTTTTCATGGTTTCTCATGACGTAATATTGTTTAGAAGTAAGTTTGAATCCTGTATACCCTGAATACGTCCTAGCACTACACTCTAGGTATGTAATGTATGTCCAGCAGTAGCAATAAAAAAAAATAAAAAAATTGATTCAAATTTAACTAAAAACAGATAAAATAGAAATATGTTAGTTTCTTTTCGTCTGTGTTTAAAATAATTATTAATCTGAGCTGAAAACTTTAGAATCCTTTCTTTTAATATATCTTCAGATTAATTTCTAGAGATTAGAGATGCACTCTTTAACTTTTGAAAAACCGGTTTTTAATTATTTCGCATTTGTGGTGTCATATCCATTGGTCTAATGATCGTTTGAACGAAACGTAAGTTTTGGATTAATGTTTCAAAAGAACCATGTTAAATTTGATGAAATATGTGTTTAATAAGTTCATATTAACATGGTTAAATTTAAATTTGTTTACATGCTCTAAAAGCCGGCTGACTACTTCAATCGGATATTAGTTCAATCGATATAACAACGTATCTGAATTGGTTATCAAACGTAACTTTTATTCATTAGGGATATCCAAAAAGAGAGGTTTAAGAAGAAAATAATAAGTCTATACATTGTTTACTCAGATTAAGCTATCGGGATTAAGGATATCTCATTTTAAAGTTAATTCAGTTCTGTTCTAATTTTAACTTAACGTTATAATAATAGTAAAAGACTGCTGGTAGAACAGCTCTCCTCAAGCTACCATCTTCTAGCTGATGCTATAATAAACCTCCTAACTTAATATTATGATAATAGTAAAAGACTGCTGGTAGAACAGCTCTCCTCAAGCTACCATCTTCTAGCTGATGCTATAATAAACCTAACTTTAGCAAAGTAAGTTTTTTTACTTTATATTACTAATAAATATTTTATACTTGTATTTCTTCAATATTTACTTATTTTACATACAAGAAGTCCGAGCCGAAACTAGTACCTGGAAAGGGCTTGAAATTCTAAACCAATACTTTTCTTAGGCCATTCCTACAATATATGATTTTATTTGATTTTAATCATATTTTTATTTTTATTTCTCCAAAATTTACTTAATTTTTGAGGCTCCAATTAATTTTTAAAAAGTAAGAAAATCAATTTCTTCTTACCTTTACTTATATTTAAACCTGCTTTCAGTCAAGTTTGTAATGCAAGGAAAGTTAATTGAAGTTGTGTACATATTGAAATCAGTTCTCTCTGGGTGGAATTTGTAAACAAGAATTGATGCATCAGTATTCGTTTAGTATCCGAGGATGTTAAAAGCATTAGATTTTGATAATTCACATTATAGTTTCCTGTGACCAGAATATTTTATTGATTTTTTTTTGTCCAAGATGGATCCCATGTCAGGCTTCGACATCCGTTTTGTGTTTACATTACCGCCCAGAGACAGTACACCTTTGAAATAACTTTCCTTGCATATTAACCTTGCTTTCAGTAATGTTTTACTTTCTAGCTCCTATTTGATTGAATGATGTGTTGTCGGTTAATAATAATACTAGCCATAAGTATATGTTTAGAGGTACAAGACACGAAGGAAGGGAAGGAATGACTGCTTATTATCTCACAAAGGAAAATATTCAGACAGTTACCCATTTATTTTTAAAATATAGATTTTTAGCAAAATTGTGATAATGATTTAACAGTAAACTTCTTTTATTGACAATTAAGTGTTAGATGATATTATGAAATATAAACTCCTATTTGATTTGATACACCATTCGTCGGCTCTGAAAACCTTCAAGAAGGATAATATATTCTATAATCATTTTTTTTCGTCTTAACCCTTTATACCCATAATAAATTACACAACGAATTTTCCCTGAAAAGGCCATGACTTGAAAAGGAATATTTAAATGAATATTTCCGGGTTAGGGTTGGGCTGGTCTTGTAGTTATGGTGGAGAACAGGCATTGTGATAGATGGATACAGGTTTTATTATACTCTCTTCACACACTAATAAACTTGTATTCACCAATTCTTGAATAACGTTTTGTAAATTAGATTTAGTGAGAAAATTGATTTAAAACAATAACTTTGAATCTTGAATTTTTTTTCAGAGACTTTAAAATGTTGTCCGTCATTAGTAAACATTAGAAGTCTCACTTGGTTTACAAATTTTAGGTTAAATGTGACTGCCAGGAATCGTACAATGTTGTATCTACTCGAGGAGACCTTTGTACAATGGATTCTGTTCCACCTTTACATAGGTATGTACAATGTACATGATCGCACAATAATGTACAATATTTTCATAATTTTTAACTAGAAATAGAGGTATTAAACAATCCCAAATTATTTGTAAAAAATATTTAAATAATTTCACAACAAGTTAATTTAAATATATTTTTTGTTGCAAAATGTAAAGGGGGAGGGGGAATAGAGGAGGGGAGGGGTGGATGTAAGTTCTAAGAAATATCTGATTATATTTTTTCAGACAAGTTATTATAGTGTTAACACAACTGGAAGGTTCTGGAGGATTTTCTATAGCACACAGGTAGATATCATTTAGTTCAGCTTCCGTATCACATTTTAACTTTATTACATAGAGATCAGCTTTCCTGCAACATTTTAGATAGCCCTTCAGTTACATGTCATAAACTTTAGTTTTCTTCTAAAATACACAGATTCAAATCATGTAGTTTTTTTTAATGTTGTGTCGTAAGCACACTGCTTAGCAGGTTCATATTCTCTAAATTACACAAATTCAAATCATGTAGTTTTTTTGACGTTGTGTCGTAAGCACACTGCTCAGCAGGTTCATATTCTCTAAAATACACAGATTCAAATCATGTAGTTTTTTTGACGTTGTGTCGTAAGCACACTGCTCAGCAGGTTCATATTCTCTAAAATACACAGATTCAAATCATGTAGTTTTTTTGATGTGTCGTTAGCACACTGCTCAGCAGGTTCATATCAAGGATGTAATGCAAGGAAAGTTATTTCAGAAGTGTACACATCTTTTGTACTGCAGTGTACTGTCTCTGGGCGGTAATGTAAACACAAGACGGATGTCAAAGCCTGACATGGGATCCATCTTTCAGATAAAAAAATCAATGAAATATTCTGGTCATAGGAAACTATTAAGTGAATTATCAGAATTATCAGAATTTAATGCTTTCAACCTCCTCGGATACTAAACGAACACTGATGCATCTATTCTTGTTTACAAATTCCGCCCAAAGAGAACTGGTTTCAATATGTACCCAGAGTATACGCAACTTCAATTAACTTTCCTTGTATTACACCCTTGGTTCATATTATGAAGTTGAGTTTTCCTGGCACATTTTTTATATCACATAAATTCATGCATTCAGTTCAGTTTTTTTATCACATTCATCTACAGCACATAGTTATGGTAGATTGATGTTCTCAGTTCAGTTTTTTTATCCATTCATTAACAGAACATAGTTTTGGTAGATTTATGTTCTCAGTACAGTTTTTTCCTTTCATTAACAGAAAACATACTTTTGGTAGATTGATGTTCTCAGTTTAGTTTTTTATCACAATAATCTTCAGCACATAGTTATGGTAGATTGATGTTCTCAGTTCAGTTTTTTATCACATTCATCTTCAGCACATAGTTATGGTAGATTGATGTTCTCAGTACAGTTTTTTATCACATTCATCTACAGCACATAGTTATGGTAGATTGATGTTCTCAGTACAGTTTTTTATCACATTCATCTACAGCACATAGTTATGGTAGATTGATGTTCTCAGTAAAGTTTTTACTGGACTTTTGCTTATCTTGAATATTTTTTAGATTGACTCACAGAGTTTCCATGCAGAAGGGTTTACATGACTGGGCATCTCCTGGGACCGATAATAAACCTCCTCTTCGTGAACCCCTAGATGGATTACATGCTCCCCGCCCTCTCTAACCCCTAGATGGACTACATGCTCCTTTTAGTGAACCTCTTCCCCCTCTAACCCATGGATTACACGCTCCTCGACCCAAACAGGTTCAAGATAGATTACATGCTCCTCTGTCCCTCTAACCCATGATCACACGCTCCTCGACCCAAACAGGTTCAAGATAGATTACATGCTCCTCTGTCCCTCTAACCCATGATTACATGCTCCTCTCCCCATCTAACCACAAGATGGATTACACGCTACTCTCCCCCTCTAATCCATAGATTACATGCTCCTCTCTCCTCTAACCACAAGATGGATTACACGCTACACTCTCCCCTCTAATCCATAGATTACGTGCTCCTCTCTCCTCTAACCCCTTGAGGAATTAGATGCTCCTCTTTGTGAACCTCTTCCCCCTCAATCATGGATTACTCCCACTCTAACCCATTGATTATATGTTGTTACCTGAAAACTCCACACAAAGCTTGATCTTATGTATTGTATGCACTGCATGTGTAATGTGTATCTCCAACCAATGACTAGTCTTCACATTACATACCTCCTACCTGAACCTGAACATCCGACTCAATGTGCGACCGGCCTATCTATAGTACTCTCTATAATACTCATGGTTGAAATTAATTAGTTTGAAACTAGTAGTTGAATTGGGTAAGATTAGTTGAACCACTTTTTTAGTTGAATCGTCGGCACTATAGAAGTAGCTGAACTAGTTGAACTACTTCCCTACTAAATCACAGCTGATTTTCTAAAACTTTAATTTCGCAACAAAAAGTTTGATCTCACATAGGGGCTGATTATCTGTAACTAACTTCTCACGATCATTTTTTCTCTCAGGTAAAGCTGAGGCACCTTTTAATCATTTTTTTAAAATGTAATATGCTGAATCTTAATTTTAAAATAGAACTGAGATGTACTATACTTTTTAATATAATTATGTATTCTTTCGTTTAAAAAAATATTATGCAAATTCTTTAATTGAACTAATAGCTGCTCATTTTATAAATGGATAATCTACATCTACGCAGTACTTTAAAAGGGTTTTGAAAACATTATATCAACCTATAAAAAGATTCCTTAATGGCATTAAATACTCTTATCTATACTCATCACTGAAAATTAAATAATAAATGATCTCTATATATTTAATTTAAAATAAAAATGGTATAATCCAAAAGTTTTGAAAATATCAAGTTTCTGGAATTAACCTAGAATTGCTTATTTTCTCATTTTCAAATTGAATTTAGATTTAAGTGAAATCATCCTTTGATCCATCCATAAACAAAAATATTTTATTTTTCAGCCCTAAACTTTGGCATTTAGCAAAATGAGAAAATATAAAATGACTTCAGAATTTGAATTCTCTTTATTCTTGTTACTCGCAATTAAATACAGTTCTTTCTTGAATTTGAAATATGGCTGATTTACTTTCAGAGCTTTTAATTACGCTTATTCAATATTTTAAGTGGTCTGATTCTACTTTTTTTTGTTAATTTGTAAGTTGTATAAAATTATAGGCCGACATTAATTATTAAATCTAAAATTTCACAGATGACGCTTTGTTAATATTCAGTTTGATTTTTATTTACCAAAAGTTAACTTCTGTCTTAAAGTTACCAAGCTAGTGTAATTCTTATTGTAATATGTTTATACTAAAGATTTTACTAAGTATATAAAGTATATTTCTATCACGACCTTTAACCTTAATAAATGTAATCACAAGAAACATTTTTATTTTGTAATCAACATAACAGATTTGATAAAGAAAACTACTGAAACCAAGCTTGGATATTAAAGAAACTTACAACGGATCTTGGAGTAAGAATGAATTAGAGAGTGGGGGGGATCTTGGAGTAAGAAAGAATTAGAGAGTAGGGGGGATCTTGGAGTAAGAATGAATTAGGGAGTAGGGGCGGATCTTTGAGTAAGGATGAATTAGGAGTAGGGGCGGATCTTGGAGTAAGAATGAATTAGGAGTAGGGGCGGATCTTGGAGTAAGAATGAATTAGGGAGTAGGGGCGGATCTTGGAGTAAGAATGAATTAGGAGTAGGGGCGGATCTTGGAGTAAGAATGAATTAGGGAGTAGGGGCGGATCTTGGAGTAAGAATGAATTAGGGAGTAAAAGCGGATCTTGGAGTTTGGATGAATAATGAAGTAGGGGGCGGATCTTGGAATAGTAATAAATTAAAGAGTAAGGGTAATATAAGGATGTATAACTACAGATTTACAACAGTATGCTTAAAAGCTTTTTTATCAAAGATGTATAAGACGACCATCTTTTTCTTTTCAAAATTTGGTTATTTTTAATTTTAATTTCTTAATTCATGCGTCTTCAAGTTTTTTCTGCAAGAACTATGAAGGAAACTGTAAGAATTAAAAACTTCATCACATTACTAACCAGAAAAAGATTTAAAATAGGTATCATTGTGAAATTACGCCAACAGTCCCTTGGAATCAAGAGAATAATGAAATCAACGCGGGAGTTCTTTCATAGAGACCTTTTAACAATTAATAAAAAGAAAAGGGAAATGAATCTATACAATTGTAAGAACATGAGGGGAGGGGTCGTTGGTTAACAGACTAATAGTCTGGTTGGTTAATTGGTTCGCTGGTTAGGTTGGTTCATTGGTTAGGCTCCTCAACTCGGACACAGTTTAGTCTCCAATAATCATAAAGTAGATTTATTTCAAACCTGTAATAAATTACAGGTCTTAAACATGAATATAACAATATTTTAATGTAGTTAAAATGTTAGATAACATAGCTTACTAGTTATTAAGTTAAACATGAATGACAAAATTTTAATGTAGTTAAAATATTTGATAAAATATCTTACTATTATTTAGTGTCGGAGAGAAATGGAGTGGTTAAGGGTTTGAGGGTTGGATGGTGTAGTTTGAAAAATTTATAATACTTCTGAAAATATATACCCGATTGCTTAAGTGGAATTTACTATGGATTGCAAAGTTATTTGTGGATTCGATCTTTCACATGGTAAAACGTTTCACTGTTTTGATTTTCCTTTGTCAGAGTTATAGACTAAAGAGGTAGAGTCGGTGAAAGTGTTTGTTTTGGACTTGTGCTGGTAAAGACGACATTTAAGGGAAAAAAGGTCTCAAATTAGATTAATGGTCTACAACAATATCTTTGTGTATTTATAAACTGACATTTCTAGGATTTAAAACAGCATAATCTATTTTATAAACTGTATTGTTTGCATTTATTGCAAAATCCTATGCACCAGGAAGTCATTCAGTCTACTGAGCCTTCTCCAACCATTTCAGCAGTATTTCCAGTTCTAATATATATTAATATAAATCAGAAACATTATTTAAATGGGCTGAAATTTTTTGTGGACACTCGAGCAACGCCGGGGCCTTCAGCTAGTATATAATATAAATATATGATAAATCAATAAATTTACAAGGTCATTGGTCCTATTCAGCCAAACAATGTCAGTTAGATAAAAAGTGTTTTTTATCAAAAGATGCGCACACATTGTTCCTCTTTACTCCTGTTTAGCCAATCAAAAAAACAAAACATTTGAAAAACCCTCATAAAAATTTGGCTGAAAATGATAGAAAGGCCCAGAAATTGTCAAAAAATCTTATCCTAAAAATATCTCGCATAACTGGAAATTTTTTAAGGGGCACCCTTAATCTCAAATTTATGGTAACCCTTGCAATATGTGTAATGTGTATAATACCTTATGTGCAGGTGGTCGACATGCAACAGGGCATGGAGTTTTAGATAAACGTTCTGAAGGTCCATCCTAAAATATGAAAAAAATTATATTATGTTCTGACTGAATATCCGTCCTGAGATATAAAGTTCCGTCCTAAAATATTAAACCTTTTCTTCGGATATGAAATTCGTCCTAAAATATTAAAAACTTATCTTCTATCCTGAAGTTCCGTCCTAAAATATAAAAAAACATTATCTTTTACTCTGAAGGTCTGTCCTAAAATATTAAAAACTTATCTTCTATCCTGAAGTTCCGTCCTAAAATATCAAAAAACATTATCTTTTACTCTGAAGGTCTGTCCTAAAATATTAAAAAAATATTTTTTTTTGAAAAATAGGATTTATTTTTAGAAAAGTTCCGTAATTTAAAAAAAAATAACTTTTAATTCAAATTTTGCGGGACATCTGTCCCTCTTTGACTTAGTAAATAGATCGATGGAATTAAAAATTATGAAGAAAAACAAACAAAGAAAACTTATTCTTATTTACCTTGGTAGGTCCGTAGCCAACATATACATAACCAATTCTTTTAGTTGGCCAGGGCCGCCATCCTGGACCAACATATCCTAAATCATATTAATTACCAAAATATCCTTGATCATTAAAATGTTAATTACTATCCTGGACCTTATATCTTTTCATTAGTATATAAATTACTATCCTGGACAAACATAACCTAAATCATTAACATATTAATTACCATCCTGGACCAACATATCCTAGATCGTCAACATATTAATTACCATCCTGGACCAACATATCCTAGATCGTCAACATATTAATTACCATCCTGGACCAACATATCCTAGATCATTAACATATTAATTACCATCCTGGACCAACATATCCTAGATCGTCAACATATTAATTACCATCCTGGACCAACATATCCTAGATCATTAACATATTAATTACCAGCCTGGACCAACATATCCTAGATCATTAGCATATTAATTACCAGCCTGGACCAACATATCCTAGATCATTAACATATTAATTACCAGCCTGGACCAACATATCCTAGATCATTAACATATTAATTACCAGCCTGGACCAACATATCCTAGTTAGCATATTTATTCCATCTGCTTATCTAATTTATTTATTGAAACACGTGAAATTCTTAGTGATTTAGATTAGAAATATAAAAGTATGCCCTTTCCCATAGATAAAGATAGATTGCGCATAAGACATTTTTCATCTTGAAAGATAAAAATGTACAGAGATGTTTTAAAGATATTCATATTATATAGATTAACTAGGTCGGTTGTGAACATTGGCTGTTCTTATGTCATTGAGTACTTGTGGTGTACATGAGTTCTGTAGAGAGAAATTTAAGTTAGTTTAGTCCTTCTCATGTCCTTCTTCAGTTCTCGTCAATATAATATATTGCTCAGTGAAATATTGTTGTTCAAATAGTTCCATTCCCGGAGTTATTTTACACTCTATTTTGGAATCCATTAAAATACCAAACCACCCCGCTTATCATTGAAGTAAACTTTGACCCTTAGAAGTATGAGTTCGCGGACTGTACAATTCTTGGTGATTTTGAGTACATAAGCTATCTATGTTTATTTATTTATCTTTGCCTTTTTCTCAAACTTTAAGAATTTTTACCTTTTTCGCAAAGATAACTGTCATGAATTACTGAATGCATTCTATAAAATAATATGATTAACTCAAAACTTTACATTTTATTACTTTAGATTTTTATCTACATTTGAAAAGAGGGTTTTATTAAAGTTACTGCACTGTTTTGTCGGATGAAACGCAATGCAGCAAATGATTTTTCGAAAATCATGAACGAGTCAAAGGTTTAAGTTTCCGTGATTATGATTGCTTCTTTATTTGTATTTACCTTATTAAAGGCCACACTTTCAATCTTAGAGTAATCTGGAAATTCAGAAAATAAAATGTTGTATTTTGTGTATTTTATCAGTGTTACAAAACATATATTTATTTTTGCGGCACGTTATCATGATCTATGTTGCATTCAAGTCATGTAAGAATGATGATAAAAATAAAAATAAAAAACAATAAAATTGAATTTTTTTTGAAGCAATCCGACTGGGAAATTTTTCTCTACCTGGTCTAAATATTTGTTTGTTGAAGGATGAACGCTGTACAGAGCTCTTTTAACTTTAAACATAGTTGCCATGTTTTCATAATTTTTCCCGCCCCATAGACCAGCTAAGATGGCGTCACTGAAACAAAATGGCCGTCACTCAAAATGTTTGCAAATCTTAATAATCTTTTTTGTGTTTGAAGTTGTACCTGTGAAAAGGACCATCCCTCATTATGTGGAATTGCTTTTCGGAATTCAACCATTCCTACGAAAAAAATGCGTTATAACATTTATCTAACGAATACAATTTTTAAAGAAAAAGTGACTTTTCTAATTAACCTGTACTACTTAACCTATACTTTCAAGGGACCTAATCAGGACATGAATGATGAATATATCCTACTAACAAAATTCTATTACTGCAGTTTGTTTACCTCTATATGTTCTGACGTTTTTATGTACGGTGGTAGGCGATTATATTAACATTTAATGAAGACGACTTTTTATTTAAGTTTTCTAATTACAAGTTTACAAGTAATTAAAGAGAAGCTGTTTTAATTGACAGCTTCTCTTTGTTTCCATGTGTTTGTGTATCCAAATGCTTGATGTAATCAAAATTGAAATCGAAAGTCGTCTTCTATTTATTGATATAATCGTCTGTCATCGTACTAAACTGTAGTTTGTTTATCTTTATTACAGTTGCTTTACCTGTACAACAGTTTGTTTACCTGTACAACAGTTTGTTTACCTTTACAACAGTTTGTTTACCTGTACAATAGTTTGTTTACTTGTACAACAGTTTGTTTACCTTTACAACAGTTTGTTTACCTTTACAACAGTTTGTTTACCTGTTCAATAGTTTGTTTACCTGTACAACAGTTTGTTTACCTGTACAACAGTTTGTTTACCTTTACAACAGTTTGTTTACCTTTACAACAGTTTGTTTACCTTTACAACAGTTTGTTTACCTGTACAACAGTTTGTTTACCTGTACAACAGTTTGTTTACTTGTACAACAGTTTGTTAATCTTTATTACAGTTGATTTACCTGTACAACAGTTTGTTTACCTGTACACCAGTTTGTTTGTATTTAATACAATTGATTTACCTCTACAACAGTTTGTTTACCTGTACAACAGTCTGTTTACCTTTACTGCAAATGCTTCTCTATCTTGAATGAAACTATCAATGTCTCTTGAACCGAACATTTCAACAGTGGGGTCCCCGACAACCTTTAAATTATGTTACAAACAATCGTAAATTGAATATACATTATGCATTGCTACCCAAACAAATTTTAGAATTAACATGTGTAAAGATAAAAAGGACCTTTCTAAAGCTTTAATTTGGTTTAGTTAAAATAGAAAATTCATCTCCGTAAATTTGTCTTACACTTTTGTCAGTTTGGTAGGCCAATAAATTTGATACTGCTTAAATCTAACTCTGGAATCTGGTGGATAAAACAAGTTTTCTTATACCTGAAACCTCCAAATCTAACTCTGGAATCTGGTGGATAAAACAAGTTTTCTTATACCTGAAACCTCCAAAATCTAACTCTGGAATCTGGTGGATAAAACAAGTTTTCTTATACCTGAAACCTCTAAAATCTAACTCTGGAACCTGGTGGATAAAACAAGTTTTCTTATACCTGAAACCTCCAAAATTTAACTCTGGAATCTGGTGGATAAAACAAGTTTTCTTATACCTGAAACCTCCAAAATCTGGAATCTGGTGGATAAAACAAGTTTACTTATACCTGAAACCTCCAAAATCTGGAATCTGGTGGATAAAACAAGTTTTGTTATACCTGAAACCTCCAAAATCTGGAATCTGGTGGATAAAACAAGTTTTCTTATACCTGAAACCTCCAAAATCTGGAATCTGGTGGATAAAACAAGTTTACTTATACCTGAAACCTCCAAAATCTGGAATCTGGCTTATACCTGAAACCTCCAAAATCTGGAATCTGGTGGATAAAACAAGTTTTCTTATACCTGAAACCTCCAAAATCTTCCAACAGGGAACAATTTGTTTAAATTTCCCAAACTTGAAAAAGGGATAAAGGTTTTAAAAGGATAAAAATTAAGTTTTTTAATTGTTCAAAATAAAAAATATTGAGCTTTACAAACCTGTGAATGTTTGTGACGTCACACAGATCGAGATTGGAAGTTTCACAATACAATCTACATAATTCGGATTTTATCTAAATTAAAAATATGTTTAAAGGGTGGTTTAGGTAAAATTGCAAATAATTAAACATCTTTACCAAATTGTAAAAAGTTTTTAGATAAAATGAAAATTGTATTTACAATATATGTCTCAATATATATTGATACTTGAAAAAGGCAATTTTATCTAGGCACAAAACAAATGAAAAATTGTAATTGAAAAATTAAAATATTTGCCTGAAAATTTTCTTCTGTAATATTGTGGTAAATCCGAATTCTCCAGCCGGGATAATATAACTGTAATATTTCTAATTAAATTCCAAAAAAAATTTAAAATTAAAATTGTGTTGGTGTCTCTGAGTTTCAATTGGGCTTGATTAAAGAGAAATATATTTTTCAACGTTTATCTTAAATGACCAATTTTTTCTTACAGAATGCTCTTCTAACTCTAAGATAAAGTAAGAAAATTTATAAAGTTAATACCATAAGTGAAATACTTTATCCAATATAACGTAAATAAACTTAAATAGAAACCTCAGCACGCTGGATTATGTCTGATATTAGTTCAGTGTAACGTAGGTCAGATGCATCCTCCTCCCTAAATATATGAATATACCTTAACATATATAGATATACATGTATATAAAAGGGTGGTCGCCAAAATACCTTCGTCTTTTTGGTTTTAGGTCCTTAAACCATTGATAATTAAACAAAATTAATCTTAAAATCGGCAATGAATATAGTACATGTAACAGAGAACAAATTAAAACAATCCTTGATAGATTCTGATTTAAATGTGACCTCACGAGCTATTTCTAACTTCAAAATTCATGATACTCCGCTGCCAGCTAATTAATAGAATAATTCGGTTTACATTTTTCAAATATCATCAGAAATATTAAAATACTCAAATTATTTCTATCAAAGAACAATAAAGTTTAATGAATTAATGATTCTACAACATCTTCGAGGCTATAGAATAATGAAAAGTTGCTCAGGGGACAAAAAAAGTGCAAATGAAAGAAGAAGAAGAGATCCTTTAAAGACGCTGCTCTAAGGGTACGGATTACTTTTATCACTAACAAATTCCGAAATGTAAAAAAAGGTTCCTTAGAAATATAAAATTTTATCAAAAGAGAGACCTACAAGATCTCAATACTTCTTGAAAAAAACGCTTCCATTAAAGCACAAATTATGTGAATGTGTTCCACATCTGAATTTTGACTCATCAAGAAAAAGTATTAAATTATTTGTCAAGTCATTTTGAAAAATTTATCAAAAATTCTTTTCAACATTTTTGATGAACCAGGTGCTCATAAAGCTGAGATTACTTTTGTGATTCCGCAAACTCTATGAATTTGCATGCACCTAGGAAATTTAAAAAATGGCGCTTTGGCCGGTTTGCGAGTCGCAAGTGCACATTTTTCATCAAAATGTTATAAGTAATGTTTAATTTTCTCCCGTAGTCCGTGTACATATCAATTTCAAAAATTTTTTACAAATTTTCTTTAATATCTTTTTGTAGAAGGCCCAAAAAAGTAAAAAGGTAGGTTTTTTGGAAAACACCCTTTATATAAAATTTATTTAAGACACAATGAATTCTGAGTAAAGAAAGGAGATTCAATCAATAAGGAAAACATTGAGAATGAGGACAAGGGAAATACAGGGATAGGAATGAGGGATGATGATTAAAATAAGAATAAGGGTAAAGAAAAGAATGAGAATAAAATCAAGAATGAAGGTATGATGAGGGTTTAACTAAGATTTAAGATAAGGTAAAGATAAGAATGAGGTTGATATATGCAAACTTACAAAATTCTGCCATGAGGGGATCTAGGAGGAGTATAAAAAGAATAAGATAAAACCCTCTGCCCGGCTCCAAGCGCTAAAAATAAAAAAATAATTTTATTTTTTGGAGAAAAAATATTTATTTACCTGTTGTATAATTATTACAGGTTGATTTCCCAACATACTGTCCTTCTACAACCTATTAAAGGGATTTTTTTTTATAAATTTCGTAAAACTTTCTTTAAAACATTATACACTTATAGGGGGAGAACGTTAACAATGCCGATATCATTAAAAATATGTCAGTCCCCTCCCTTAAAAATTAAAACTGAAAACATAAAATATCATCTTTAATGTACCCATTATTGTCTCCCNGGTTTCGATTATAGAGTCATAAAAGTTACTAGTAAATTTTAAATCATATAATAGAACAGGAACAGAACAGTAAGTTTTAATAAAAATGTTTTGAAAAGATTCAAGTGTTTAAATTTTTCCCTTTTTCCTGCTTGTAATTGATACTTCCAGGTAAGAGGGATTCATCAACATTTTTTAAAGATTGTGCCAGCCTAAAAAACGTAAATATATATTTGAATTATATACATATAAATAAATGTATTATTTATCAATCAAAGATGTTTTTGTGATGTTCAATAATGAAAACAAAAGCTAGACTAGAAATGGAAAAAAATTACAAATTTTTATTTTTTATTTTACGTACCTAGGTTTACAAGAACAAGATGAATCTATATTATATTCCACAAGCTCAGGTTCATATATTTGATTGTAGTCTGTACACAAAATATCATTATGGTTTGCAGTGTGATATAAAGATTTTCTACTTATCAAGATCCTTCAGGATACAGAGAAAATTTCAGCTCTAAACTTTATAAAAGTCGTGATAAAAACTAGTGTTACAGGTAATTTTATGAAAGTGTGTGCTTGTTCGGAATAGAATGGTTATATCTAGATACGACAAAAGACAAAGGTTTTGATTAATGATTTAACTAGTTTTTTGGGGAGAAAATCCTGAAACCAATTAAACTTTAAAGTACAGTGCTGAAATATACAGATAATTTAATATTATAAAGCAATGATTACTTTATAAAGTTTATAATACTGCTATAATAAACTTTACCCTGACTTGGGCAGAAATTGTAAATTTTCTTTTAAAGATTTAACAATATTTTCAACAGAAATTTATTTGAACATTTTTGACTTATGAACAGGATAAATTTAAATAAAACGCAAAGTGTAAAGAAATTGAGTCTTTGCCACAATCTCGGGTTTCTAATCGCTATATCTTTACAACCCAAAGTCGAAGACCTTAGCTATTTTAAACTACAGTGAAACCCTTGATAACGAATGCATCGGAAGAATTTATCAAATGTCATCTTGACAATTTTTCAATGAGTTTTATACTATATTACGTAAATTTTAGCATTTGCGAAAACAAATAAATAGCCATGAATATGCGGGAACAGTTTTAAAGAGTTCCATATAATCATTTAATTAATAAAACTAAATATCTGCAACATTCCATTATCAGAAAGTAAGGAATACGACATTTGATGAATTCTTTCGATGTATTCTTTATTAAGGGTTTCACTGTAGGAATTCTGGTAAATAAAATAATTTAAGTTTTAAATATCAAATTGGTGTACACTATATAATTGCAAAGATGTAAATTTTAGTTCGTGGCTCAATTTCTTTAATGACCAAATTACAGGCCTTTTAACAAAAAAAAAGATCTTTACCTCCTTTCTTGTAAATTAAACTAGAGCTGTAGAAAATCAAGATAACGACGACCTCAAACATTAAACAATACAAAATGGTTTTAGTTTTATTATTAAAAACATTTAATCAAATTGAAATATTCGAAATCATTATTCTTGATTTAACTGAAATTAAATAACTGTGAATTCCTATTCAATGAATTTATCCATTACTTTTCATTTTTTCCCGTAAATATTTATTTAAAGTAATAATTGATAAATACTTTTTAAAAGAAGATCTTTAAGAATAAGTTAAACGTTACCAAGCCTGTTATTTGAAAAAATGATTTTGTCCAACTCAGAATCATTTTAATTCTAAAAAGATAAAAATTATTATTATTTTCATTGCTATTATTATTATTATTATTCTTATTATTATTTTGCCTTTTGCTGAATCAATAGGTATTTAATATTTATAAGCTCAATGAATGCATTCCTGAAAATATTTTGATTATTTGAGTGCTGACTAATTATCTACTTGTAAATGCACAATGAATGTACATTTGGTTGAAATTTCAATATGAATTGTTTGTTTCAACAAATACCGATCAGAACAAAATTATCAAACTTTATATTTTCGATTGGGAAATGTTAAATTTTCTTTTGTGCTTTATTTTTAGCTGAACCATCAAACATTATTATAATGTATTATTGTGTTTGAAAATAAATACTATAACTATAAATTATTATTATTATTATCATTATCATTGTTATCAATATTATTTTATTTCTAATGAAATCTTATTTGAATTGAAAATTTGTTGCAAAGCCAACAAACACTGCATGTAATGTAAAATAAGATGAAGGTATGATTGTCTGTATAATAGAGATGAGTTTAAACAGATATAAATATAGAATTAATTTTACTGACTTTTATGGGTTTTTAAAGTTTTCAATTCTGCAGAGAAGGAGCCGAGGATCGAGGGAGAATAATCACATAGATTAATAATAATGTTTACACCGTGTTGTCACTATGTAAACACTGTTCACAGAATCAGATATATTTACAATAACAAAACTTGGAGGAAAGCTATAGAACTAGAGATATACAGGTAGACCATGCAACATGTCCTGGCTTGACCTAGAGAGGGGGAAGGGGTATAGGGGGGATGTCCTGGCTTGACATGGAGAGGGGGGGAAGGGATACAAGGGGGGATAGGGTTAATGGTTAAAATGAGGGGGGTGTCTAGGGTTAATGCCTAGGGGGTACTTGGAAAGGTCACAGTGGCAGGAAAATGAAGAAGAACCATAAATAAATAAATAAACATAGATAGCTTATATACGCAAAATCACCAAGAATTGTACAGTCCGCGAACTCATACTTCTAGGGGTCAAAGTGTACTAAGTGCACTAAAGTATACTTTAATGATAAGCGGGGTTGTTTGGTGTTTTAATGGATTTCATAATAGAGTGTAAAATAACTCCGGGAATGGAACTATTTGAACAACAATATTTCACTGAGCAATAAATCATATTGACGAGAACTGAAGAAGGACATGAGAAGGACTAAACTAACTTAAATTTCTCTCTACAGAACTCATGTACATCCCAAGTACTCAACGACATAAGAACAGCTGATGTTCACAAGCGACCTATTTAATCTATATAATAGGAATATCTTTAAAACATCTCTGTTTATATCTTTCAAGATGACAAATGTCGTCTTATGCGCAATCTATCTTTATCTATGATTGAGACACTTCTATTCATGGTTAAAATAAATCATGCAAATTCATTTATGGGATTATACAAATGACAAATGTCGTCTTATGCGCAATCTATCTTTAGCTATGAGAAGAACCGATTGAATTATGTACAGGGTATGTACAATTAGACCGATAACATCGACTTGTAAATCTAAAAATTATAATTCTTCGAAATAAGAAAGTTCTTCTCTGACTAGGAAATGTCCTATTCTCGAATTTTTAAGAAAATTTTCTTTCCATGCAATTTGCAAGGCCATATCTTCTATGAAAAATGTTCTCTCTGTTATATATTGAAATTTCCTGTTTAAGAATTTTTTATGAAATGGCCTATCTCTAAAATATCCTGTTTCAGAGTATTAAATGATTCTGATAATGGTTTTTGATACTCTTTTCTCTCTTTTATTCCAACTTGACAATAATCCGCTAATTCCTCCCAAAATGTCGTCTTCACCCCTTATTAACATTTATATCCACTAAACTACATATTTTCTTTTAGTTTTTATACACATATTTTACTATATCTGTTTGTATCTCTGTTCTGAACTTCTATATCTTGCTGATTCTCTTTACAATACAGTGGTCCCCATAGAACATCTATTCATTACTCAATCATCCCAATTACTCCAACTCCCAATTTACCAACCCTTTTTATCATCCTCACATTCGTTGAATCCCAATTCCAACTTCCTCTTTCAAATCTTGCATAGACAGGATTTTGTCGGGCAAATTGAAAGGAAGAAATAATAGGAGGATCTAAATAATGTAAATACGTATGTGTTGTAGATATGTTTGATTGAAGGTGGGGGTGGTAGCTGTTGTATCTTTTCCAGCTATAACCATTCATCTAACATGTTCTCTCTCCCCTCTGTTATCTGGTTGTTTAATGAACATATGATTCCGATGATTTTTTAATGTTTATAATCCACATCATTAAATTGATACTTCTTGTTTTGGGATATAACCACCCCTAAACCAAGCCAACCATTTAAAACCACGCAGGTAGAGAAAAGATAGAAATCCAAGCGCCAGATACAACTGGTGTATATAAAGGTTTTCTAAGAAAGCATTCATGAAACAATAATACATCATTAAATCATGATATTTTGTTTGCTAATTGTCATTTTCTTGTAAAAAGTCGGCAATAATATAAAAAATTTCATTCTGATTTTATAAGTAAAATCCCAAACTGTAAGAATCCCAAATGATAAGAATCCTAAATGAGGAAAAAATATAAGTGTACAAATTCCAGTTCTCCTACTTCCTACCTGTAAACTCTAGTTTTCAACTTTCTAAATATCTGTAAACTTTAGTTCTCCTACTTTCTATCTGTAAACTCCAGTTCTCAACTTTCTATCTGTAAATTCCAGTTCTCCTACTTTCTATCTGTAAACTCCAGTTCTCCTACTTTCTACCTGTAAACTCTAGTTCTCAACTTTCTAAATATCTGTAAACTTTAGTTCTCCTACTTTCTATCTGTAAACTCCAGTTCTTAACTTTCTATCTGTAAACCCTAGCTCTCCTACTTTTTATCTGTAAACTCCAGTTCTTAACTTTCTATCTGTAAACTTTAGTTCTCCTAGTTTCTATCTGTAAACTCCAGTTTTCAACTTTCTATCTGTAAACTCCAGTTCTCAACTTTCTATCTGTAAACTCCAGTTCTCAACTTTCTATCTGTAAACTCCAGTTCTCCTATGTTTCTATCTTTAAATTAAAGTTCTATAATATAATGAAACAAAAATTATTTAGAACTTAAGAAAAACACGTAAGGAGAGGTGGAGGAAAAGGAAAATATTTACAATTCTAAAAGTTAAAGGGAAAAATTTATTGAAGAATAGAGGGAGGATAAGAATAAAGGGGGGGGTGGCAACCAAATAATATAGATAAAGAGAGATTGCGCATAAGACGACATTTTTCATCTTGAAAGATATAAACAGAGAGTTGTTTTAAAGATGTTCCTATTATATAGATTAACTAGGTCGGTTGTGAACATTGGCTGTTCTTATGTCGTTGAGTACTTGTGGTGTACATGAGTTCTGTAGAGAGAAATTTAAGTTAGTTTAGTCCTTCTCATGTCCTTTTTCAGTTCTCGTCAATATGATATATTGCTCAGTAAAATATTGTTGTTCAAATAGTTCCATTCCCTGCACCAAACCACCTCGCTTATCATTGAAGTACACTTTGACCCCTAGAAGTATGAGTTCGCGGACTGTACAATTCTTGGTGATTTTGCGTACATAAGCTATCTTTGTTTATTTATTTATCTATGCCAAATAATTGCAAACGCTATGTTTTAATAACAAGGAAACTCGTTAGAATCAAGATTTGCAAGAAAAGGAATTTTTCTAGATTTTTTTTGAGTAATATAGAATTGAAAACTTGTTAGGGAACCCAGAGATTTTATTTCATGACGGAAGTTCCAGGATCTGTGACTCATAAAGGATTGTGAAGGTTGAACATCATAGTTATATCCATAGTTAAAATCTGTAATAAATATCACCAGAAACAAAAAGTATTCAGAGTCTTCCATTTATTTTCTTATTTTCGATTATCTTTTTTATAATAATTACAGAATAGTGGGGGGTTGGTCATAGAGAGAGGAGCCACGAACATGTGTGCTTCGCCACGGGGTAACCTAGACTAGCTTGCTTCTGCAGAATTCTTGCCCTGTGCAAATCTCTGGCTTGGCCTAAGTCAAGGCACCATGTCTGGGCTAGGTTCAGGCTCCTCGAGTGAATATTGTCCCTTTTATTCTGGCAAATTTCTTATTCGATCCTGAAATAATAAGCAAGACAGACCAATATGGTAGCCATTTTTCATCCTTCAATCAATCATAAACAACCCTGTTCAAGGTTTTTAACAAGTTCGTTGACCTATTTAAGCCTGCGAAACAACTGTTAACAATTACAAATACATGCATACAACCTCAATACTTGGATATTCATTTATGTTGAAAATTGTATAAAAATCTTCGCTGCCTTTTTAAGAATTTCCAATGCATCCATTATTATTATTCACGTCTAATTTTCTTTAACATTAATTTTTCTTTTTTCTTAAAGCAAGCAAAGATGAATCCTGCAATTTGATGAAAACCTAAATAGATGATGGAATGAGTATACATGAATATGAGGAAAGAATGGTTTTTGTTTTTATCAAATCTATTGATTAAAAGGAGGGGTTCAAACCTGGAACAACTCTTAATTAAAGGAAGTAAGACGACATTCATAGACAGACTTTAAAAGTAATTCAGGGTTCAGGGTTTACAAAATCATGATATTAATTATATTCAATCCTGATTTTCGTTCACAGATCCTCATTTTCTATATGTAAAATATCGATCTCGTTTTAGCCCCCCCCCCTGTAGGGGGGGGGGCTAGTCCTTAACTTGGAGTCCCTTCCATACTCCACATAGTTCCAAAAATATCTAATTTTCTCGAAAAGGAATTGAGTCTTTGCCACAAGCTCTGATTTTCTAATCCCAATATCGTCGCAAACCCAATAATGTAGACCTTAGATATTTCAAACTCTGAATTCAAATAGGTAATTACTAGTCTAGGCTCGAAATATAAAAGGTTCACAAAATAAGGTTACAAAGATATAGGAATTAGAAAATTTTAATTTGTGGCAAAGACTGAAATCCTTTAAAAAAATATGCCCCCCCACGCTAATCTTTTTTAAAATCTACATTCTTTAAGCAAACTCAACTTCAACTCTAACATCTTTCAATATTATAGCTCAGATTCTTTTTATTTTCCCCCCTTCTTTAAAAAATGACTCCGAATTCGGATTTTTCAAATTGCCCTACAACAATTTTTAATTTGCAACTAAATTTAATTTTTTATCCCCAAATGTTTGATAAATACAACCAACTTTAAAATTTTCAGCCCTATCTAAAAAAGCCCCTTAATTTGTTTTAGATAATGCTAAAAAATTAAGAAGTAACCGCCAACAAAAAATAACCCTTATATAGTTTTAAAAAAGCCCATTTATATATTTTAAAAATGTCCTTAAATAAAAAAATTTTACCCAAACATAAAGATTTAAGATTTCTCATACACAAAATTGACCAAACTGAAGAAAGCCCCCCCAAAAATAAAATTTGCCCCAAAAACAAAGATTTAAGATTTCCCTTAACTAAAAACATTGCCGATCCAAAAAGTAAGGTGCTACTGGCGTTTGAATTATATTGACTTTTTTAACAATTGGTCGTTTGAACTATAATTGCACGTGGCACCACTTGTACAGTACAGGGTGTCCCAAAAAACATGGAAATTCAGTGACAAATTGGATATCGCATTTGTTATGAATTAGCATATTGAAATACCTAATTTCAAAAGCCAATATTATTATCTCTGCTAGAATTTATTTTATGAAAAGAGTAAAATACTGTAAAGATGTGTCTATAATATCCATAGAGAATAGAATATATATTAGAGGGGAATTTACTAAAAAAGAGTGTAATACGGCCATTTTGTTGTACTGTTCATACTGCAGGTGTACTTCACATATTTATGCTATATAACCTTTTGGGCCCTGGAATATCGTTTTATAGAAAATCTAAAATTATTGTTGAAAGAAAACCAAACTATGAAATAGGCTGGCTTCATAATTGACCAATGATCATTTCACATAGACTCTATGCCTTCCACTTATAACTATTTCCGTTATAACTATAAATCAAATGATGTTTTTTATTCACCTAATTCATTATAAAGTTTATTTAACAGTTTAAAAAATTCGAAATTGAAATGAA